CGAGATTGTCAGAGTTCATGGCGTGTCGGTATCCATCATCTCTGACCGGGGTACGCAGTTTACATCGCGGTTCTGGTGGGTCGTACAATGTGAGTTTGGCATGCGGGTTGAGTTGAGTGCATCATTTCACTCTCAGACGGACGGACAGTCCGAGCATACTATTCATATACTGGAGGATATGCTCCGTGTGTTATCGGGGTCAGATTATTGTTAAGAAAGTTGGAATAGATTCATTATATCATTTGGGACTTGTGTACAAAATTTGGGGTTATTCCAGGTTCGCTAGACGTGGTTTAGCATGAATTTCGGAAGTTTGAAAACTGATTAGTTCATTAGGCTTGAATTGAGATGTGATTCATAGTCTTGATGTTATTTTATGTGATTTGTGACCTCGAGTAGGTCCGTGTTATGTTTTGGTACTGGTTGGTATGTTTGGACGGGGTCCCGGGGGCCTCAAGAGTGTTTCGGATGAGTCTCGGATCATTTTGAGGTTTGTGGGCAGTTTTGGTCCGGTGTCTTTGCACCTCCGGGGTTTGGACCGCTGGTGCGAGACCGCACTTATAGGGTCGGAGAAGAGATTTTTTGGCTGGAAAGGTGAATCCACAGAAGTGGAGGGCTGCACGCAGAAGTGATTGTGCAGGAGCGATAACCCCACGAGTCTAAATATATAATTAATTTCAAGATCTAATATCAAATTGAGGTCAAAATCTCCAAAATTAGTGTTCATTAGTTCAAATCAAAAAATCAAATTTTACACTTTAAAATCCTAGATTTGGGGGTGAAAATCTAGGGGGAATAACGAAAATTAATCAAAACAATGTTAAAATCACTAATCTTGAAGTTGGGAAGGAAATTCTCTCTAAAATCGCCTCCTAACAAAGTCTAGATCTCAAAAATAGAATAAAATAGGCTAATATCGGAATCCTTCCCTTTAAAGCCAACTTCAAATATCACAATTGCGAACTCTTGTTTGTAAGATCGCAAAAGCGAACAAGTGCTCGCAATTGCGGACATCGTAAATGCGATCCAAGCTTTGGAATTGCGAAGCTCCCCTTACCAAGCCTCACAAATGCAAGGTGACATTCGCAAATATGAACCTCATATTTGCAAACTGTCGCAATTGAGGCAACAACACTAGCAATTGCAAGATTTACCAAAATAGCCTGAAATCAAAACTCACCCGAGCCCCCCGGACCCTATTCCAAAACATTCAAACAACTATAATAACCTTACACAATTTCGCTCGTAAGATCAAAACATCAAAACAACATCAAAAATCAAGAATCAAGCATCAAAATGCAAGAATTTCAAAAGTTCATAAACTCAAATTTCCAACTTTTAACTAGAAGCACTGAAATTATCTCGGATCAACCGGTACCCAAACCAAATGTACATACAAGTCCAAAATTATCATACGAACCTACCGGAATCGTCAACGTTTGAGGGTTGACTTGTTCCGAAAAGAGGCAAGTATCTTGGTTAACCTTGATTTGAGTAAATTAGGTTGTAGTTGGGTCTATTTGCTACGTGCTTTATATGTTTAGGATGGCATACATGCAAGGTAACGAGTATATATACGTTTGTCATGGGTTAAGCATGCGGGTAGAGTTAGCCTTATTCATGAGTTGTTGTTTCATGTATTACTTCTTATTTGCTCTAAATAGTTCATGGAACTTCTTGATTATTCTTATTTATGCTAATAGTTACATTCTGGATTTGTTGAGACATTTCGATATTATGTTTCTTGAGATGTTGGCTCGGCTCTTGATGCAAAAGGATGGTTATCTCTCATGTAGTGTGTTATATTTAATCACTCTTCATGATGTTGTTATGCTTCCTATCTTGCTTGGTATTATTTTGTATATATGCTTGGTGAGGAAGAGTGAATTGCATGAAGGGTGTTTCCGTGTTTGTGAGGACGAGTGGTTATGCATAAAGGGTATTTTCGTACTTCTTAATATTATTGCTATTGCACAAAGGGTGTTTTCATGCTTCTTGACATTTTTATTATAATTATTATTGCTCGAAGGGTGTTTCCGTGCTTGATGAGGAAGAGTGTTAAAGGGTGTTTCTGTGCTAGTGAGGATGAGAGATAAATACACAAAGGGTATTGTCATGCTATTTTATTTATTATCTTTTACTCCTTGCTTCATTTATGCGGATTTGAGGACTTGGTTACGTTGTTTCACGGATATTGTTTATTCTCAGACTTGAATTGTTGTGAAAGGCTTGATTGTGTTATTTGAGAAGATACGATCATTGTTTCCCGTAATTGATTCTTTACTATTCCTCATATTTTTTCTTGCTATTACTCTTGTTATCTCCCTCATTAATTCTCTTGTTATATTACTTGTTATCTTATTTATTATTTCACTTATTGTCTTACTTGTTATATCTCTTGTTATTTCTCTAGTTATTGAACTGCACAGGTTTATAGAGTATGTATCTTGTCTTAGCCTCGTCACCACCTCATCGGGATTAGGCTTCACACTTACTGAATACATGGGGTCGGTTGTACTCATACTAGACTTATTCATTTCTTGTGCAGATTCTGGCATATGATCTAGTGGTGCTCAGAGAGATAACTAGCTTGTTGATTTGAGGAGACTCGAGGTAGTGCTGCACTCTGCAAGCCTTGAAGTCACCTTTCCATTTTTCCTATTACTGATTATTTTATCGAACAATATTATTTATCATTTCAGACGCTATATTTAGTAAATCCTTAGATACTCATGCACTCAGTGACACCAGTCCTGAAAAGTTATTAGATGGATGTTTTGGCTTTAGACTCGTTATGTAGTTTTGAGTTTACTCTTTAATATGAATATGTTGTTTTATGTTAGTCTTAATATTCTTTTATTATTATTTAGTGCCGGCTTACCTAGTAAGTATTGTTTGGTGCCATCACGACCCCTTAGTTGGGAATTTGGGCCGTGACCCATATTTTCTGAAAATAATGAGTATTCAAAATGAAAATTATATTTTTAAATTTTTTGAAGAGAATGAATGTTGGTTAGTCTCTTGGATATTCAAGAAAATAGAAGAAAGAAAACATACTTGAGCCCAAAAGAGAAGATTAATAATACGACGTGGGAAGATGTATTGGCTATAGCCATTCAAGTTCCTGTTTGTTCGGCTATATTTTTATTCATTTGGATTCAGGACATTTCCAGAAGTTTTGATCTCCTGCTCTTTCTTTTCAAAACCAATGGTGCTTAGCAGTTCTGATTATTTGAAAGTTGTATTTTTCGTGGACAATTTAACCTATAACCTTGGTGAGTTTTCTTTCTCCTCTTTCTGTTGAAATTTCTTTCTAGTCTTGACGTTAGAACCTGCAAAATTTGGTGATTCCTGTTTGAAAATTCCTTTGATTTCGTAAGATCATAGCGATGATAGCGTTGTTTAAATAATGTCATCCAGATTTGGGCATTTGCTTTGATAGGTGAATGTGGTGCCTAGAGGGAAGTAGAAATGGCGTACAAGGTGGATCATGAGTACGATTATTTATTCAAGATTGTTTTGATTGGAGATTCAGGTGTCGGAAAATCTAACATTCTTTCCAGATTTACGCGAAATGAATTCTGTTTGGAGTCTAAATCCACCATTGGCGTCGAATTTGCAACTAGGACACTTCAGGTTAGTTTCCAATTCTCCAAGTTCTATGCATTTTTAAACCTTACACAGCGTATATATCATGGATTAAGATTTGATTATGTGCAATTACATTTGATCCATGCAATGTGGCACAAATTTTAGAAACTGCCTTTTGAACTTTGTAGTAAAGATCTTGTCAAATTCCAAATATCCGTTTCATTTTATATGCCACTGTTTGACTAGCAATGAAATTTGAGAAAGAAAGAAGAAAACACGCTTGGCACATATCTTACAACTTGTGGTTATAAAGGTATTTGACTATAAGAGCATGTTATTAAGAATAAATGAGAAGTTTAAAATTATAAGAGTTTGTAAAAATAGAAAGGTGCTTATAAACTAATTCTACTTATCCTGGGGTAAAGTCTGCGTACACTCTACCCTCCCCAGACCCCACTTGTGGGATCCTACTGGGTTGTTGTTGTCTCTATAACATCTAAGACAAGCAAAAAAAAAAAGAACTGGGAAATGTACAATATAGTGTGTATGTAGTAAACTAGTTATAGACTGCATCTTGCTTCTATATTTTGCTAATTAGTCTACCACTATTATGCTTAATTAATAAAGGATGACCGAGCTGCCTTAAACATGAATTGATGTTTTGAGAAACGTGCATTGCATGGCGCAGGTAGAAGGCAAGACAGTAAAGGCACAAATATGGGACACAGCAGGGCAAGAAAGGTACAGAGCAATAACAAGTGCTTATTACAGAGGAGCCGTGGGAGCACTTTTAGTTTAAGACATAACAAAAAGACAAACTTTTGAAAACGTGCACCGATGGCTTCGCGAGCTCAGGGACCATGCTGACTCCAACATTGTCATAATGATGGCTGGAAACAAGTCGGATTTGAACCATCTTCGAGCTGTTCCAGAGCAAGACGCAAGGCTCTTGGCCGAGAAAGAAGGGTTGTCATTTCTTGAAACCTCTGCATTGGAAGCTTTAAATGTTGAGAAGGCGTTCCAGACGATTTTGTTGGATATTTATCAGATAATGAGCAGGAAAGCGTTAGCAGCTCAAGAGGCAGGTGCTATTCCTGGTCAAGGAACTGTTATTAAGGTTGGAGAGAATTCTGGAAACTCCAACAAGAGACCATGTTGTTCTAACTAAAAAGTGGGCTTTCTTTTTTGTTGTATTGTATTATATAAGAGTAGATTTATATGTGTGATGATCGGCGTTGTGTGTGTAAGAGTTGAATTGAGGAATGACATATAGGAATCTTATGCTGCGTAAAATAAATACAGGTAAACTTTTCATAATATGTTTTAACATTTTGATTAATTGCAGTATGAAAGATTTTTGCTGTAGTAGCTTATAACTCAAGTGAAGGTCCTGATGGACAAGCAATCAGGACAAGCAATCAGCTTTCTCTGTACGACTCACATAATGTTTACTGACGTTAGGGGAATACATCTGAAGCTAATCGGTTGCTTCTTAATCCTGTATTTCAATGTGGTCAATATTTCTAGTATTTTCACTCAAAAAGTAAAACAAATGAATTACATCTTATTGACATCATGCAGAGCGTAAAAGCTTTTTAAGGACAATTAAGAAGTGGTTCTTCTATTTTTCATTGTGGCATATACTTCTCTTTGGGACTGAGCATCCACAGATGAATCCCATAAAAAATGAGGGGAGCAAATCCAGCTTTGCAAGATCAATGAGCAGTCAATTCAATGACTTCTGAATTGCCATACAGCAGAAGAGACCTTCAACAGCCACGGCCAGAGATGTTACAATGATGGTATCATAAAGGAAAACTTCCTGTGAGGTAAATGTGATCCAATGTACGTCTTAAACCATACTTATTCACGGCTTCATTAGCAGCTCTAAATCCTCCACCATATGCTGGAGAAGTATCATGGGCAATCTGGTGCATGAAAAACTCACCCAGCTTATTCTCTACTCCAGACTTAACACCTTTCTTGGATAATGACAATGACGAGGATGAAGCAGTTGACGTCGATGGCATTTCTCTGGATACAGGCATTACCTCTGATTCCAACCACATGTAGGAAAGCATTTGGCAAATTCCTTCTTCTACCTCAAGGCTGAGATTACGGAATCCTGCAAATTCCGAACAAGGTAACTTTTCTCAAGTAATCAGGTTCAAACTTATATTAGCTGCAGAGGCTAATCCAGGATCTAGAGTTAGTGGATTCAGAATGAATGTGATCTTATTTTATGTATTACACGTTTTAAATGTTTTTTGCACATATATTGACAGTTTGCGCCAAAAGCAATTAGTTTAGTTGAACTCATAGAAACCGCTCTAATGATTAGCTGGTATCAAGCATCATGAGAGTTTGATGGTGAAGCATCTGGCTATCTTGTTATCTTTATTTTCTTGAAGATTTTATACATCTCCAGAATCTGCTGCAAGCCAATGTAGATAGAAATTCAGGATCAAAATTACCTTTTAGACGTAACCACGCATGCATCAGTTCATGAGCAAGAATGGCACCAGTAAGTAGTCTGCAGATAAAGAGATATTGTCAGTCTATCTGGCCTTACATAATCTTTTTAGAAAGCATCTTCACTGTTAAACAAGGGTTACAAATATACAAAACAAAAACATAGTCAATAGGATATGCCAGGAATATCCCAAGAACAGTGTGTCTGTTTCACTTGACTGGTTATTTAGGAGTGATTTCTTTTCTCACATATGAACTCTTCTTTCTTGTCATCACTTTAAAATGTAGATTATTTACCTTTCCACTCTTCTTCTAGAAGAACACTAACTCGATACATGATAAAACACATTAAAGACATTCTTTTGGTTCATTTAGAAACTCTATCTCATATAGGCAAACCCAACTTGTTGAGGATTAAGGCGTAGTTGTGGCTGTTGTTATTTGGAAACTCTACCTCCTCTTTTTTAGAGACTAAAATGTTTAATTTGGTGTAATATCACGTTGGAATATAGAAATGGAATTAATGTTGACACTTTGAAGGTATATGTGTGTGAAGAGAGCAAGCTACCTTCATAGACGCTGAATTGAAAAAGTTAATTGAATATCATAATAAGTTTGCTTTCTTTAATTCCTTATCCTTTGAGTTGATTCCTTCTCCTCTCGTCTTGTTTGGAGAGGAGGCTGCACCACATTCCACGTAACACTTTTCGCTCTTTTGACAATTACGTTAGAATAAAATAACTGAAAGTAATTAACACAAAGAAAAAGTTACCTTGGGAGGCCAAACAACACTAGAATAGCTGTAACTTCACATTTTCTAGTTAGCTTCTGAGGATGTGTTCTGATTCCTACTACTTCACGACCACCCATTCTTGGCCTTTTGAGTATCTGGACATATGTTCAATAAGATGTCATAGCTCGTCTTGCACGTTTCAATAGGTTACCTAGAGATTTGACAGTTCTAATCTAAATTGAAAATTGATTTCAAGTAAATGAAGAGCTTACACTGGTGACTGTCTGCTCTTCTGATAGGCATAGACCTCTCGTTTCAGGCATATGATGAAAACCCTAAAAACAATTACAGTCAGAAATTTTCCAGACTAAAGAACAGAAAAACTACATTATGAAGTCACTCTTACATGCTTTTCCCCTTCAATGGCTTCATTAAGTGCTTGTCTTTCAACGAGAAGCATAGGAACTTGCTGGTCTATTTTCATGTTCATGCCTTCATAATAGTCTCTGATTGAATGGTAAAGCGGTTGGCAGTCCCCGGTATCCATGATAGCAGATTCCATGCACTCTAAACATAAGCTCCTACTGTCCCCAAGCGATATATATCTTGCATTCCACGGCTTAAGAAGATAAGAACAATATCAGCGTGAAGCATATTAGTTGAACGATAGGTGATCCAACATGTTTGATTTCAGCTGATAACCATACCTCCAGACGTTCACAACTACAGCATCGTTTTGTGACATCACTCTCATGTGAAGGACAATATTTCTGAGACCAAAACGGGTGGCACCTATACTCAATCAAGCCTGTTGCATTTGTTGGGATCTGAAAATGAAATGGTGGATCGTAAAATAAACTACTCCATGAGGGATTAAACAGTGAGAAATGATAGTCCTTTCAATGTTTGTCTGTAAGTATATTTGAAATTTCATGTAATATTTCCAATACTTAAACTGCTTCACCAAAAGATAGGATGCAATTTTTAGTGACCACACAAAAAATGGCACCATAAGCTGGTTTCTAATCAGACCAAAAGTATTGCAGAACAATTTGACAAAAGATAATCCATGTAAAACATCTCTTTAGGCTGGTGAACTAGACAACACTTTTACTCAAACACGAAAACAGAATGCATCAATAGACATAATAATGACAGCAAGTGATGATTTAGATCGATGACAATCTACGGGCACTTCAACAATCATATGCATTTTTCTGTTTGACTCTCTATGGATTTGTAAGAGCAAGAATCAGTATTATCCTAACAGAACATGTAGGAGAAGCTTATATCTGCAGATGCAGTCAAGATTAAAACCTTGAAATGTAAATTGGATTTGTGATGAGCAATTTCCATTAACCAACTACATGAAGAAGCACCATGTCCTTACAAATTGGTGGCAAACTTCACATTTGGGGTGAGTCATTTCCCTGAAGCATGATTTGTGATAATAATTGTTCCCTGACAAAGAAAACTTGAATCAACAAAGAAACCAATGAGCTAAACACAAGAAAAGTTTCAAAACCATTAGGTCAATTGAAATTACAAGTTTAATTCAAATTTCTTTTATTTCTTTTGGGAGAAAGATTGAGTGATAGTTAGAGAGAAAGGACAAGAATGTACCTCATATTCAGTAATTGGATAACCACAAGCACGACAAAGAAAGCAATCCGGATGAAAGAAAGTTCCCATGCATCCCAAATAATTGCCAGAGCCAATATCCCCATGGCAGCCACTACATATTCTGCAAATTATAAATATGCATATAAGACATAATTATACTCCATGATGGTATATGTTCATCCGAAACAATCAGCAGTTTTCAACAGATATTCCTTCAATACTTTAAAACTACCAAGGCGTATCTGCTTGTGAACACGAAAATTTGTTTGGATGTGCATATTAATTCAGGTCTTAAATTTGAATTTTGTTCATTCTCCATTTTTCAACCAAAGACAGATTGAAGTTTTCATCTATAATAGGTATTAGCATGCGACAGTTTCCATTTTCAGATAACGCCTTTCTCAGTAACACATCTTGAATTTGATGCCCCATGAATTTACCACTCTAAAAGGCAGCCTTCTATGAAATAGATAAATAAATACTATGAAGCAGCAATCTTTCTTCATGTCTTTGATCCTTTTTTTTTATTTATTATAAGTAAATACAAAAGAAACTGGGCCTCATGCTACACTTCTTTGGGATAGAAAGCTGCTTGAACTTTAGAGGTAGCTTCAAAGAGGGATTGATTAATTAAGCTGAATTTCAAATGACACAATGCACAAGAGGATATCTCAACAAAATCCAATTACCTATAACTTCTGGGATTATATTCCCAAGGTGCATATAAAGGAGCATAAGGAGGCGGATATGACGATGAAGTAAGGTCATGGTTAAGTGAACTTCCTAGATCTTCATCATTGTCAGTCCTACATTTGTATCCTGCAAAGCACACAACTGTCAGTCTTAACCTCAAAAGAGTGAAATTAGTCATATATAATAAGCCAATAGAGAACTGAACAAGGTAAATAGATCTCTGGAGGATAAGAACAAGGAATAGTAACTCTATAGACTTGAAAATATACAAATAAAAACTTTTAATTTCCACCTGGTCTTTTCAAATCTTCGGCCAAAGATAATGCAGTTGCATTTTGGTCTAGTTCCTCTTTTTCTGTACTAGCCCTAGAGCGATCATCCTGTTGAACTTTAAAATTGTGTTAAGAAACATTCAATCAGAGGAGCATGAAATACAATTTAAAACGACAGAACAAAATTCAGGAACAGATAGCTATGAGTAAATCAGTCAGATGTTAGAAAGGATAGAGCAAAAAGCTGAGTCATGAGTGGTAGAATTTAACTTCTGAAGCAGCCAAAATTCCTGCCCTTGGAACAAATAGTCCAGCTGAAACATACAAGTTTTACTAGGCCAACATCGAATGTTGGCTCATTTCTTGGTGAACAAAAAGATGTTTTGAAAGAAAGATGTGCAACAGCTTTTGCGAAGCTTAATCCCTTATTGCTACTTGACATATCTTACTTAGTAAAGCAACCCTTAGTGGTAGTCGTAGGATAATGATTTATGAATCATCAGTTTTACAGGTCATATCCAATTTGGACTGTTGTTGCAATGAGAAACTTCAATGTGCTAGAAATGGTACAATTTGAACAAATATACCAAGTAATAGTGCTATGTCCCAGTCTCAGAAATGGGAACAGTTGGCAAACCATACCTGGGATATCTTTTTTAGACAGGAAGGATGTCAACTATACTCCTAATAATTATGTTGGTTATAAACTTAAATCTCAAAGATCAAAGCAGCAAATGAAATTGTTAGGAAGTTTTTTCTTTTTCTTTTTATAACAGAGAAAACCTTGAGGGTCAATGGCACATCTTTTGGAAACTTGGTTGATAATGGGTCCATTTCTCTACCATTTTCTACTTAAATAACAGGTACAGAGTTCGAACCCTGGTTAAATAACTTGTGCCTAATTAGGTAGGCATTACCTCTCTGTCCACATTTCACTTTGCAGGAAATTGCAGTTTTTTTTTTCTTTTTCAGAATGGTAGACACTGGTACAGCAAGCTTGTGTAAGGAGCCTAGCTCTGCAACCCCCAAGCCCCCACTCTCCCAAATGACAAATGGGAGGAATCCCTTGACAATTCATTTATTTCTTTATTAATCCACTAGCTCATTCAAAAATAATGCACCTTGAGAGTATGTATATAAACTCTGAATTTAAAATGAAAAGTTAAAAAAATTACCAATGATCTGACTGGAGCGCGCGAAACCATATTTTCATCTTCTAGAAACTGGGGTTGACGTCCACGTTGCGATCCCCTATTACATGACCCACCCTTGAAAATCTTAGTCAGCCATTTCATAACCTTTGGCTTTCTCTCTGCGTATGAAGAAACAAACTGACCTGCTTTAAACCCCATAAGAATATCAACAACAACAACAAAAAAACCCGACTTTTTTTTACATAAAAATAAACCAAGATTCAATGTATACTCAAAAGGGTATATGTTAAATAGCAAAAAAGTCAAGTCTAGGAACTTTTGAAACATTACCATATATGCATGGCTGAGAAAAATGGTTGATATTTGAAGAAGACATGGCAAGAATTAAGGTGGCGACAAATTGTGTGTATTGAGAGAGGCAGATAGAGAGAGAATGGTAATGTAATGGAACAGAACAGAAGGTGGAGGAGAGAGAAGAAGAATGGCATGATTGATAAAAGGGTACGTAAGTTATAAGAGAAAGAAGAGAATATTTGCGAGAGAAAGAGATTCTTGGCTTGGGAGAAAGAAATAAAGGCTGGGGAGAATCTGCTAAGGTGGATCGTGATGGAAAGGGAAGGAGAAAGGCAAAGATAAACTGGCATGCAGTTTATATTTTGAACGGCTCAGAAATGGAGTATGAGTGAAGCCTTAAGAGAACCCATATACATGAAATATGAAATTCTCAACATTCAAGAATGTCTCTTCCTGTTAGAATTTTCGAAAGTTGGATGCCGGGGAAAAGGATGTGCTTTTTACAAGTGCGATTTCTTTTCTTTAAACTAACTCCTTGGTCTCAAATTGGTGATCATTTTAGGGGTCGTTTCGTTAGTTGTATTAAAATAATAGTTAATCTCAGTATAAAATTTTCCCAAAATGATACAGTGTTTAGTAATTCAACCAAACGCTGGATAATCTCGTATCTAATTCCGAAATTATTATTCCATATTCCATCAACCAAACAACCTCTCAATTTTTTTTTATTTTGTAAATTTTATCTATTTATCCTCTTTTCCCGAAGAATGCCGTTAATCTTAGAGAAGGTGAAAGATATTTTTGACATTATTACCAATTCATGTTAAAGGACCCCTTTGTTTCAAGACTTACTCACTGTTAATGGAAGAAACGTCAAATATTCAAAAACATTACAAAATCAGACGACAACATTTGTGAATGCTTACGTGAGGCAGTTCTCTTCAAAATACCACAACCTCTTCAAAATTTGTTTGCAACTATATTGATGCATTATAATCCAAGTGTAACGACCCGACCGGTCGTTTCGAGCATTTGCACTTCGTTCGATAGTTTGAGAGCATGAGTAGCTTTGTATGATGTATTATGACTTATGTGATTTGTCGGTTTTGGTTTTCAATTTATTCGGAATCGATTTGGAAAAATAAATTTCATGATTTAAGCTTTAAGTTGGAAGAGTTAACCAAGTTTGGCTTTTGTGAATTTGACCCCGGAACGAAATTTTGAGGGCTCCGTTAGGTCCGGATGGTAATTTTGGACTTGGGCGTATGCCCGGATTTGCATTTGGTTATTTCTAGAAGGATTCGGCGCTAATTGGCGAAAGTTGAAAATTTGAAGGTTTGGAAAGTTCATAAGTTTGACCGGGAGTTGACTTTGTGGATAGCGGATTCGGATTGTGGTTCCGTAAATTGAAATAGTTTCGTTGTGTTATTTCGGACTTGTGTGCAAAATTTGAGTTCATTCCGAGTTGATTTAATATGTTTCGGTGCGAGTTTTGAAAATTGAAAGTTGAAAGTTCATTCAAGTTTGAATTTAGGTGCGATTCATCATTTCGATATTGTTATGTTTAATTTGAGACATCAAGTAAGTCTGTGTTATGTTACGGGACTCATTGGTATATTCGGACGAGGTCTCGAGTGGCTCGGGCGAGTTTCGGGCGGGGTTCGGATCGATTGAAGCCTTGTTGAAGCTGCTGGAATGTTTGGGTTGCTAGTGCAACTGCTTCTGTGGAAGCTTGGTCGCAGAAGCGACTCGGCAGAAGCGAGCAGCCCATCGCAGAAGCGGACTGGGCAGCTGGACGTACCGTAGAAGCGGGATTTGTTCCGCACCCGCGATATCGCAGAAGCGGATGGCTAGGTCGCAGAAGTGTGAAACGTCGCAATAGCGAAATCAGTGGTCGCACCTGCGTGTGCGCGGAAGCGGTATATTTTCGCATGTGCGGTGGATGAATTTCAGTGGATTTTTGCAGCACCGCATTTGTGGTCGAAAAAGCGACGCCGTAGAAGCGACTATTTGCTTCGCAGGGGCAAACAGTGCTGGGCAAAACCTATATTTTTGAGGGTTGGTCGTTTTACCCTTATTTTTTTAGACTTTGAGCTCGGTTTAGGGCGATTTTGAGGAGGAATTTCATCACAAGGATTGGGGTAAGTATTTTATACTTGGTTATGATTATATTTCGTGATTCTATCTTCGTTTTGTTAATTGGATTATGAATTTTTAAAGAGAAATTGGGGGTTTTAGCCTAAAGTATGATAAAGTGAGTTTTTGAGTTTTGAACATCGATTCGGAGTCGGCTTTGGGTGAAACTAGTATGGTTGGACTCGTAATTGAATGGGTTATCGGATTTTATAAGTTTAGTCAAGTTCCGAGGCGCGGGCCTGGGTTGGACTTTTGGGTTGATTTTGGGCTTTTGATTAAAGATTCAATCTTTATCGATTGGGTTAGTTTCCTGTAAGACCCCGTAAAATTTCGTAAAGGAATTTAAATTTATGTGATGCCGAACTAGGATCACGTGTTTGAGGATTGTAGAGATTTTTTGCGGCGAGTGGACTTTTTGGGTTGAACAGTGCACTGGTGAGTAAAGGGAAATTTTGGGCAGAAAAATGCGTTTCTGCGGCCCACTATGCGGCCGCATAATCACTCTGCGGACCGCATAATGGCCGCAGAGTGAAGCAACTTAGGCAAGTTTGGAGATCAAGTTTGCAGCGCATTATGCGACCGCACACCAGTTCTGCGATGCATTATGCGACCACAGAACAGGTCTGTGGGCCACATAATGACCGCAAACTGAGTCAGTTTTGCCTAGTTCCGGAGGGCAATTATGCGGTCCATTTCGCGGACCGCAGATCCTGTTCTGGAGTTTTATTTTTTGTATTTTTATAACCCGACCCTACTTCGTTTAATAGACGATATGTACTATCTTTTGAGCAAAAACCTGATATTTTGAGAGAAAGAAAGTGGTCTAGAGAGAGAGAGAGTTCCTCACCAATTGTTCCTCAATTCTTACTCAAATCTTTGAAGGTTATCAAGGAAAGCACACTAGGTCTTCATCCTAGAGGTAAAATTCTACACCATAAACCTCAATTTCGAAATTTAACTAGGAATGGGTAATTGGTAAGATAATATTTGGGTAGGGGAGTTGTTTATTTTGCATGCATGTGATATCAAGGGATATAGGGAGATTGTTCAGCTAAAATGGTAAAGAATGATTTGTGGGATGATGGGATCCTCCATGAAAGGGCCTTGAAATCTTAATGCACACCTAGTATTTAATAAAATGCTCAAAAGAGCTAGAACCATGAGTATCTTCCCAATTTTGGTTAAATTTGATACATTTCTACAATAGATTGAAGTTGCTAAGATTTTCGAAACATTTTAGAGTTTAAGGAAGCTCAAGTGAGATATGTTGGCTAAACTCTTCTCTTAGAATTGAACCCCGTAATGTCCTTGTAAGTCTCGTGATGCCCTTTATAAATTGAATTTCTGTCAAATAAGCCTTGTGTCGAAATAATTATGTGTTTAATGTTTATTCCAAAGATTCTTGTTATGTTAAGTTAATGTTTGAGGATGTGGCTTAAGTATGGGTTGCGTGTTACTATGTTATGATTTGAAAGCGTGAATTCTTATGAAAGCTACCATGTCGATTGTGTAAGAAGTCATATGTGCCTAAGGCCCTAATTTGCTCAAGTATGTGATTAAAGTCTTAATGTTGAAAGGTCTTGTTGTTGATTATTCATGATAACGATTGAAAATGGAATAATAAGCTGAATTATGAAGTACGACCAATGTACCAAGAATGATATTGCATCATGGCCAATGATGTCAATAAAATGAATGACATGTAAAAGAATATGAATTGAGTGGTAAATACTTTTAATAACAAATGCTTTAGGAGTATCGATTAGCCACCGAGGAAGGGTAGGTCGGAACAACCTAACCCCGAAACTACACGTGCCGGTGTAGGAGTGATTAAGGGGTAAATCCCCATGTTAATGTGATGAGACGGTTTCCCCTTATATAGGATGAGATTGGTATGTTGAGATGTTTTCCCCTTAAATGGGATGAGATTATTGCTAGCTAGATGTGATGTAATGTCGATCCACACGGCATTGTGGTGAGACGGCTTAGCCGATCGGGCTGAGATCGGACGCCATGCCGTGCACATAGTGGTAATGTGAGTGTATGTGTCGGGATGAGATGGCTTAGCTGGTCGGGCTGAGATCGGACTCTGTGCTAAAACATTGTGGTATATCGGTGCTAAAGATCTCCCAACTTAAATTACCGAAACCTATGTGAAATTTACGTTTCCCCTAATGTGGCACTTTGATATCGTTTGAATCTCTTATTGATATCATGTTTATTCTCTGTTTACTGTTACTTGTTCTATTGAAAGAGTGTTTAGTTTTACATACTAGTACTATTCCATATGTACTAACGTCCCTTTTGCCGGGGGCGCTGCATCTTTAATGGATGCAGGTGATTCCATAGCAGGTGGTATTGATCAGTAATAGCAGCACACCCTTTCCTCAGCTGATTTGGTGAGCCCCACTTTATTTCGGGGACCTGTATCTTCTATCCTTTGTACATAGCATTTTGAGGTGTAGCCGGGGCCTTATTGCCGGCATTGTCATAGCACTCTTCTGTTCTTGTTAGAGGCTCCGTAGATATAGTGGGGGTTGTATATGTTTTTGGGAAGGTTAAACTAAAAATGTTGTAATGGTATCATTTGTTCCACTTTAACTATGACTGTACAACGTACGGTTTGAAGGCTTGTTAATAACGTAACTAATGGAAATGAACCGATGTTATTCACATGACTTTTTATTGACTTATTAATGAACTGTATTATTTTCTTTATTTATGGGTGAGTTGGGTAGTCGGCACTCTGCAGGCTTGCTCAACCGAGGTAATTCTGTTGAGCGCCGGTCGCGCTCCCCGAGGTCGGGGCATGACATACTTGGTATTAGAGCCTAAGGTTTTAAAGTGTCCTAGGATGTCTCGGAGCCGTGTCTAGTAGAGTCCTTCTTATCAGTGTGTTGTCGACCATATCTATAATTAGGAGGCTACTTGGGCATTTAGGAATAATACCCTTTTTTGATATTCTAGATCGTGCGATAAAGCTGATTGTAAGATTGTTCCTCTTTTAACTCATGCATTGCTCTAATTTTCAGTAAATGGCACCTAAA